CCAGCAGCAAGGGGCCAAGCACTGTGCCAGGCCATGGAGAGATGCTGAAAAGGAAAGAATTGTGGTGAGTGTTGGGTCTAAGAGCTGGAGGAGCACCGTGACAGCCCCACCAGCCTGGCTCTGGTGCACTGCCCACCACACCAGCCATGCAACAGCTCAGACACACAAACCAAAGCTGCTGGCGCTCTGCATGCAGCCAAGGAAGCAGCACCTGAAGCACTCTGTCCAGCTCTGGGGTCCTCAGCACAGCAAGGACATGGACCTGCTGGAACAGGATCAGAGGGAAAAGGTCCAGGGAGACTTTAAAACACCTTCCAGTACCTAAAGGGGCTATAAGAAAGATGGAGGAAAATATTTTAGCAGGGGCTGTTGTGACAGGACAATGGGTAATGGTTTTAACTAAGAAAGTTGACTTTCACTAGATGCAAGGAAAAGGTTTTTTACAAATGAGGGTGGAGAACACTGGCACAGGTTGCCCAGGGAGGTGGTAAATGCCCCATCCCTGGAAACATGCAAGGTCAGGTTCATGGGGCTGGGAACACCCTGAGGTTTGGCCTGAACTAGATGACCTTTAAAAGACACTTTCCAACCCAAATCATTCTATGATTTTTAGGGCCCTCAGCCTCTCACAGAGCAGCAATAACACAGGGGGTCTTTTTCTTCATCCTCTCTCAGGTCTCCCCCTCAGTGCAAGCTGCTCTGGGTTCACAGTGAGAGCATGGGGCTGAGCTCTCCAGACTAATCACATTCCTCCCCACACGTCTTCCCCTCACCTGTAAAACAGCAGTAACAATATTTACACTTCTGCTGTTGGCTCAAGATGTGGAATGAAAATTTAATTATCATCAGTGCTATTCACCTGTGAGGAACAGCTCAGAGCCTGACCACAGCAGGAATGAGTCGAGCCCGAGGAGCCCAGAGTGGAGCTGCAGGAGACAGCACAAATCTCATCCCTGTGGTAAAAAGGTGTGGCAGCTTTGAACGGGAGAGAAACAGCTTCCTCATCCCTCATGAACTTGTTTAGAGTGAATTATCACAGAATTTCCTAATGGGTTTCCAGTTTGCAGGTCAGGCAAACTCCTGCCATTCAGTGCTCTGCCAACTGACTCTGCAGTGACATACACACTTGTGTTCTACAGGAAAACCATTTTTAAACAATAAATCTGTCTTTCCAAACCCCTCAACTCCCCCGGGTCCTTCTAACAACTTTTGTGGGCTTGTGCTACATTGTCTCACTCCCGAAGACCTTTTTTTCCCCAGTGTTGCGTGAAAGACCTAAGCACAGCAGGAGAAATTAATTAACAGAGCAGACAGCTATTCTGCCATCAAATGAACAAAATTAAATAGTACCAGAGACTTACACTTATAGTCACCCCTAAGTGTTTCACATGACAACAGCAGGGGAAACACAGTCCAGACTGTTGTTTTAATGTTGATAATATTCCAAAATCCACAGCGCTTACCAATTTCTCAGTGGAAATAAAACCTTTGACACCAGTGGGAATTCTGTCTGGGCATGAAAGCTGGTTGTTATATTATGATCCAGCAGAAAGAGTCTGTTTTGATTGTCAGATGTTTAGCACCATTCCCTTCTACGCCTGCCCAGAGCACCTGGACTGACAAGCTGAGGACAAAACTTGAATACATCTGTGCACTCACGTGCTTTCTGCCAAGGCTTGTGCTGGTGAGGAGCTGATTGTGTTCTCCACTACAGGCAGGGTTTATTTATACTTTGCAATCACCTCCCAGCAGCTGGAGGGCTGCCTGATGTGTCAGCCTGCTCTGCTGCAGCGTTGGCTTGTTGCATCTCAGCTGGTTTGTTACTGCTCGGATGCTGACCAGGACTGGGCTGCTCATTTCTCCCACATCATGAAGATGTTAAGGAATATAGGGGGAGGGAAGGGGAGAAGGAAAGCATTATGATACAGCAACAGTAAGAGGGAAAAGAGTTAAAAAGAAGACAGGAACAAAATTCAAAGGCGCACGAGTGTAAGACAGCATCACTTCAGGCATATGTCAAAATAGTGTCAGATTTTTCTCTGTTCATTAAGTCAACAGTTAAACACCCACCAGCTCTGCTTTTTACTAGCCCTGGAGTTCTGCTGCATCTGGAGAACCTCTCCACGACATCAGCAGTAGAAACAACTGGGTTTGTCAGCAGATAACCTCATTCATGAGTAGGTTGTGTAACCCCTTCCACTCGTGTCACCGTGAGGGCCACGAGCAGGGGTCAGGTCACAGACTCCATGTGGTGGAGACCAGCCCCAGCACAACAGAAGCTGTAGGAAAATGGCATGAATTCTATCAATTTTTCCTAGTTTTATGTCACATGTAACAGCACTTAGTATTTGTCCCTGGAGTTTGATAAAAAGAAAGTCATCCCCATAACACTAAATTAAAAGCATCAAATTCATATCTTTCCAGCTAGTGTGGTAGAGATCACCAGCCTGTGGTGAGGACTGGTCCCAGCAAGGGAACATCTGTGCATTCTGGGAAGAATTTGGGGTCTGGGAAGAACCCCCTGTCTAGCACTTGGGGTTCTTAACTCCCTCATTTACAGAAGATTCACAGAGAAAGAACCTGACATATGAATGCTTTCCAACAGAACTTTGAACCTGTAACAATAGTTTATATAAAATTATTGCCCAATTATAAAATTTTGTGCTGTGATTAAAGAAAACCCAAACAAACCTTATGCAATAACTTAAGAATAAAATGTTAGTTTCCCTTTTTGCACATAACTTTTATTATATTCATTGGAAGTTTTCCATTACAGTTAGAAGGATGAGTAAACAAGCAAACTCTTATTTACAAAAGAGGGGCAACATTGTCCAAGGGAGAGTGCATATTAGACTGAGACTATGGTAATTTCCTAGGACTGCATTTAGATGAAAGAATCTGGGGTTTTCAGTGGTTTTGGCCTCTAAAGCCTTCCCAAGGGACACGTATAATTTAGCTGTGATAAGTCTCCTTTAGGTTTAGGAGCCAAGAAGACAGAATCATCTCTCTTCTGCAAGAGGCAGCATCCAGAATTTGGCAGCAAACACACTTTTCTCCCAGGCAGTGTCAGCCCTGAGCTGTACCTGCTCTTTGCCATTATACCAACCCAGGCACATAAACCACCCTGTCCAGTCTGAGGAGAAAATCCCACACAGACACCTCAGCTGCCCTGACACTACCTGTTCTGCTCTCCAATTTCCACACCTCTCAGCCCAAATAAGGCTGCTTTATGCACTGTTTTATTACTTCAGGTAATACTGCACACTCTCTGCAAGAGGAACAAAGACTTTGGTGAAAGCAAGCTTGTTTGTCTGAGGGTTTTGGGGTTTTTCCCGTAAAAAAAAATAAAATTCTCCCCACTTGTAACTATGAACATTCCACTACAGTCCTCACCTCAGTCAGCCAAAAATCACATGAGGTCTTTCTGAAAAACTAAGTTCTGTGCAAAGAAGTTATTAACTGCTGGGAAAGGCAGAAAAGCTTTTTTACAGCTGTTCATTGATGCACTGAACGTCACCTTACACTCTATAGCCTTTTTGGATTCTGCAGACTTCTAGAGTAGGCTAAGAAAAAACAAAAAATCTTGGCCAGAGCAGTTATACTGCTTCTTGAGACATGGTTTTTTTTGGGTTCAGGCCTTAGATTCTCAGCCAGCAATTTCTGTCCCTGGTGGAAATTAAAAAAACAAAACAAAACCCTCAAAAAAAAAAAAAAACAAAACCCAACCAAAACAAACTAAAAAAACCAACAAAAAACCCCAAAAAACAAAACAAAACAACTCAAAAAAACACCCCAAAACAACACAAAAAAACCAAAAGAAAAACCCCCAAACAAACAAAAACAAACAAAAAACCCCCACAAACCACCAACAAAACAAAACAAAAAACCACCCACAGAACACACCAGGTTTGTCTGCTTTTTAGGAATCCAGAGAATAAATATGACTTCCTAAGGCATTTGCAAGGGCTGTGAATTGACCCCAAGCCCCAGCAGCCTTCCGTGGGAGATCAGAGTTACTCTGACAAAAGCCAGCAGCGCCTGGCTCCACACCAGAGTGCTCCAGACACACAGTGCTGGAAGGGGGAGAGGAGCAGCCTGGCCATGCCAGCTCCCACTGGCACCCTGAAAGCCATCGCTGGGCACGCTCCAGTCGTGCTCCCACAGCAGGGGACAGCCTGGTCCATCTGATGCCGGAATCTCCACACTGATGCTTGAGTCTGTCCATGCATCAGCTTTAATGACTCTCAGAAACTTTTCACTCAGGGACCACGGCTTGTGCTGCTCCCTTTCAGTTTCAGACAGGTGCACAACCCCCTTGGTTTAACCCACTGGCTGTCAACCTGCAGTAAATGAGGCCAGAATTCATTTTCTCTGTTTAATTTATGTTCCAACATTTTTATTCTAAAGCTGCACATGGATGCTTGGGTGCCAGCAGGTGCATTTCATTGGCACACAAACCATACCAAGCAGTCCTGTTCTCATCCCTGCGTGCTCCTGCAGGAGCACACCCCTCCTCACACCCAGTCTGCTGCTCGGTTCCTCTCTTCTTTCCCTTTTAAATGGCACAGACAGCCGATGAAGAGCCAGGCACTCACCTTGACCCAGACTTGAATCTCCACCAGACCTTCTCAGCAGGAACAACCAGGTTTGAAACGAGAGGAAATGCTTGGCAGGTGCTCCCAGGGGACTGGCCAAGAATAACTGCACTCTCTAGTTAATGTCCATCTGAGTACTACTAACATTTCTCCTTTAAGAGTGCGGCTGAAGCATTTGATTTACACAAGGTGAGGCATTTGTTTGCAGTTGCCCGCAGACCCAGCACACAACAGGGAACGCTCAAACCCATTTAAATCACCTATGTAAGGTGCCTGCGCTCTCCATACAGACAAGGGATCTTTTAGGGTGTGATTAACTGCAATTAGGAACCTACCTCTCACTTTTGATTATAGCAGTAGTCTAGACAGCCTGTGTTGGCAGAGAACCGACAGACTTAAAATTACCTTGTACAAATATTCCCCAATGCATCGGCTGTGCAAGGAAACAGACCGGAGGCTCTCTGGGAGGAGGGTTACACGAGTAGCACTCGACACTTGGCAGGCGGTGAGGAGCAGGTAGGGCTGTTTACAGGAGCTCTCCTCAGCCGTGACTTGCAGCGGGCAGCTCGCAGCCCAGCCCGCCGCAGGCTGGGCCGGCCGGGTCCCGGGGCGCTCCCGGCCGCTCGGCTGCTGGCACCGGAGAGCAAAGTCTGCTGGATGTCAGCTCTGGCGCAGGACCAGAGCCGGCAGCGCGGCCAGCCGCCAGCCCACGGCTCAGGAAAACCCGCTGAAAACCTGCTCCTTCCTTCGGCACGGGATGCAGCGGTGGCTGAGGAGCCGGGAATAGCCTCCAGTCCTGCAGCCGCGGGCTGCTGCTGGTGCCGGCTGACGGCTGCTCGGAGCTCTCGGCTCCTACTACTGCTTGCCTTTTTAATTTTTTTTTAAGGAACCACGTGGATCATAACTTTAATCAAGACTTTAGAAAACGAGGCATTTAGAAAATTTGGCCAAATGCATTACAGCTTCATTAAAGAATTTAAAAACTCCCCCTAAATTAGCAAATTTTTTACTTAGAAAAGAATTGTTGTATTTGAAAATACTGCCATAAAACAATACCTCAGGCAGGAGATAGACTAAGGGCGAAACCTAGTTCAGCCCCTGAAATTACTTGCTTTAAATTGTTTATTTTCATTTTCCATCTCAGGTAACTGTGTGGCAAGGCTGTGCATTGCTACATGACAGCTCGTTCTGCTTTTAAAACAACAGCACTTCAGTAGTAGCTAAATTGATGCCTTTTATGGGTCCATCACTTCCCGAAGGTAATTGATTAACGCCTGTGAGGGGCTCTGAGATCTAACAGGTTACACGTTCTGAGCCTGCTAAATTATTTTAATAGATTTAGGAAGAAAAAGATTCAGAATTTTGTGTGATCCAGTATTACCTTTCCCAATCAGCATTTCTCCTTCCCATATTTCTGCTCAGTTACAAAACAAGTGTGCTAAGCCCAGGGAGCAAGAAGAGTTGAGCATGACACCTGTTAAAATATAATAGAAAGCGATTTTTCCACTGAGAGTTTCTCTGATGACTGTTTATTCCGCTGTTTAAAGATTACAGCTTTAATCTAGCCCAAGAGAAGAAAACGGAAAGGTCAGAGCTCGGCGGAGCTCGGAGCCATCCGCCGGGCAGCCGGCACCGCAGCCCCGAACAACACGCTGTGTTCGAGGCTGCAACCTCACAACACATCCTCTGTGGTGCAATTTGGAACCATTTAAACTCGGCTGCCTTAAACACAGCCCGAACCAAGAATAGCCTCGGCTCCCGGGCACAGGTCAGGCGATGCTGAGTCACTTGCTGGCCGGGGCCCAGCCTTTCCAGCTGCCTTGGGCTCGGCCTCCTTAAAGACACAACTTGTGCCTGCCGCACACAGCCCAGCTCCAGCTGGGCACGGCCAGCCAGGGGCGGCACCCTTGGATGCCGGGGTTTAGCCAAACGCTCGATTCCAATACGAAATCCTGCTTCGCACCGCCCTGCTTCCCTCCAGCTCGGAGCGCAGCGCTGCTGCTGCCTTCCTGCCCATTCAAAGCTACAGTCATACATCTCTTTGTAATTATGAATCAACTCCCAGGCATCGGTGCACACCCCGGGCTCCCACAGCACGGCAAACAATATACTGTCACGGGTTGCATCAGCTGCACGATGCTCTCTCATGCCTTCAGGCTTGCTAAAGCTGATCCAACGCTAATATAATAATAGCCTTTTTACCCGCCTCCTCCCCCAACAATTACCGGAGGCTTGGAAAGCCATTGATATGCAAATAGCACACGGAGAGGTTATTGGGAACCAGGCTGGGAAGGTACAAATGCTGTCCTGCTAGTTTCCTTTAGTTTGACACGAACGGGACTGTAGTCCTGAATCTCTCTTTGTATAAGCAGGGAGAGAGGCAATATCGTGGATGTACAGACGGGCAAGTGTAGAAGCTGGAGTGCATCTTCTCCAGCACGGCTTCTCTTATCTGGGACCCCTGTTACTGCCCTCAGCTGCTGCAGTAGCAGAGACCTGCACAGCACAGAAGTGTCTGTAGCTCCGATAATACGAGCGTGCCCAAGTACACAAACTCACAGAAACGCGCTCAGTGTGGGTGTGGAAGGTCTTGCCCCCACAGGGCAAGGCACTGTGGAGCCTGCAGTTTGCTCTGTGGCCACAGATGAAAGTCAGAAATACAGCGTCCCTCTCCCTGTTACCCCACCGCATCCTTCAGCACAGGCACTTCTACAGGGGACAGGACCCCCTCCCTGCCCCTGCCCCACCATGGTCTGTTTGCCTACTGTCTTTTCAGGAAATGTTTCCACCAAGGACAAAAAAGGGGCTTTTTGGACCCAAGGCAGTCCTGAGACTCGGCTGGAGCAGCTATGAACAGCAGCGTGTACCAGGTGCTGTGCGGTGACATGGGACTATGATTACTCAGACACTTCTTCAGCCTCTCAGTCCCCAGTAAAGCTTCAGGAATACCTCCTAAAAATAGGCTGAATCCTCATCCCATTTTCTGTAGCAAAACAACCTATAAATATCACAAAGAAGATGTTTAGCCTGTCATAAACAAATTCCTACCCCCGTTCAAAAGAGCCACAGAGAACAGAGTCCAGCAGCCGGTGCACAAGGGGTAACTTGTTTGCTCTGGCGAGAAGGTGGCTGAGGCAAATCTAACAGTCAGCTACCCAAGCGACAGAGCCAACACAGTGGGGGGATGGCTAAAGGGTCAGTGGGAGTGGCAGACTGCACCCAGCAGAATCTTCTTGCCAAGGTGGCGAACAGCATTGCTATTGGTCATGCCTGGGGAGGTAGGGGAGCTTTCAGCGCTGGAGGTGTTCAGACGTGGCTTTGGCTGATGTAACCTGGTGTCCGTGGGTCCCGCTGCGATGCGGCCTTTGGGCTGGAGACCTCCAGAGGTCGCTTCCAGTCAACAATTCCATAGCTACGTAACCCACGTTAAATACCTGGCATTGAGGGGTGAAACTGCAGCAGCTCTTTCCCCGGTGTCTCTGTACTTTCCCCGGAGCAGGGCACAGCTCCCAGGCCGCACCAGGGCTCCATCCCAGCGGGAAGGCGCGGCCGTCCCTGCCCGGGGCTGCGGGCACCCGGGGCTGCGGGCACCCGGGGCTCCCCAGCGCCGGGGGTCACAGCACCCGGGGCTCCCTGGAGCGGGGGTGACGGACAGCGGGGCCCGGCAGCAGCAGCAGCAGCCCCAACCCCTCCCTCGTTCCCTGCACTCCCCCATGGCTGCTTGCCGCCCGCGCCTCCCCGCTCGGGTGAGCGATGGGGACTGACGCCGATGTGGCGGAAGGATGCGCGCCGGGGCCGCGTTTTCGGCGAGAGGCACAGGCCGGCGAGCGCCGGGGCTCTCCCCGCAGCCAGCCGCTCCGCTGAGGGGAGCGGGGCCGGGCGGGGGCGCGGCCNCGCGGCGGGAGGGGGCGGCCCGGGGCAGCGGGGCCCGGGGGGCGCGCTGTGCTGTGCGCATGATCGCGGCGCCGGGCTCGGCCCAGGAACGGCGGACCCCCGCCCCCGGCCGGGTCACCCCGCGGGATGCTGCCCCGAGGGATGCTCCCCCGAGGGATGCAGGCCTTGCGGGCCCCTCGCCGTGGGGGCCTCTCGGGCTGGTTATTCCCCCCGGCAGCGCGGAGCCTGCCCCGGGGGGCTCACGGGGCCGGAGGGGTGCGCCCCGAGGAGGGTGGGAGCTGCGAGGATGCACCCCCGGGGGTCGGCTCGGCTCGGGGGCTGCCCCTGCGGGCCCCACCCAGCGCAGGGCACCCCGGCTCCGCAGCGCATGGCGGGCTGCCAGCCCGGGCACCAGCGCCGGGCCGCAGGCCATCCTTGTCCCCCTCCTTCTCCGGACCCCCGCGCTGGGCTGTGCCCGCCTCCGGCCCTGCCCTGCTGCCCCGTGGGGCCGGTCCCGCCGCGGGACCCTCGGGCAGCGCGGCTGGAGCCTGCGGTGGTGACAGCGCTGGTGACAGACGCGTCTGGCAGCGCAGGGCTGCCTTCGGGTGACAGCGTTACAGCGGTGCTTGAGAGGCGCGGTGCTGCAGGTATAAAGCCCTGGGGCTCGGTTAATCCCGAACAGAGGTAGCCATGGAGCCGCGAAATCAGTTTGGGTTTGTGGCTCTGCTCGCTGAGCTGCTGGATTAGCGGATTCTTTGTGTGACCCAAATTTGTCGGGCTGCTGGTTGTATTCTCGCTGGTTTTTTTGGTCCCACTGTTATTTCTGCAGATCAGAACAGTCTAACCCAGAAATCGTTCCCAGCTAAATAGCAGCTAGGAAGGAAAAAATATAATGCCGGTTTTAGGAGGGTGGGGAGGAAGAAATTAAGATTAATGCAAAGTTTACCAGTACTCTTTGTCTCCTTAAAAAAACCCAACAGTACTCTTAAACAGCCGTGTGTTTGAATTGAAAAGAAACGTTCTTCTAAAGGTTATACAGAGAAAATAGACAACAATTATGTAAAAAGCCTCAGGAAAGTTTTTCTAAACAAAATCTGCTATTAACCAGGAGGCACCCGGCAAGCACAGAATGGTTAGAAGATATTAACTTCAAAGCAGATAGCGAACTGAAACCCTAGCAGCTCTTGCTGCTGGAATAGATTAGGTTTTCCATGAGTCAGGCTGGAATTAGTTTGTTTGCATTTGGTACCTACCTGTTTGTGCACCTGGAATGGTAACAGCGTGGTACAGAGTTGCTTATGCTGACCAGGTTAGCGGCTGCATTTTTAATTGATGGATATCAGTGTGACAGGCTGAGCTGAGACAGTGCATCAAATCTTGATTTTGGGTTAAAAAAAAATCTGGTTAGTCAGTGCTAAAGCTATTTGCATTTTGTGTTTTTCACAACGTGGGTGAACAAAAATGCTGTTTTGGAGCTCTTGGGCTGCGGTGCCCAGCTCTCAAATATCATTGGCTGTGTTTGTATCAAAATGAATCTCACCAAAACATTCATAAATCACTCCTGCCAGCGTGAGGCTTCACAGGTAATTGAACAACATTAAGTTTGTCTCTGCTCCGAACTGTTTAAATTGCTTCTCCGTGGCAATCACTGCGCAAGGGGGAGCGGGCTGTGCTCCTGCCTCCCCTCAGGGGCACACGGAGCCGGTGTGCGGCACAGCCTTTCCAGCCTTTCCACCACGGGGCTCTGCTTCCCCCGCTGGGCT